GAGCTTTATCGCGTCTTTATCGCGTTATATCAAGTCTTTCCGAGTGTTTAATTGACAGTGTTCAGTTTCGAGTGTTTATCAATTTTTCTTGATATGGATCAAACGGAGCGCGAGTTGGTGGAGTAAACCGCTCAGTTGAATACGCGAGAAGAATACGTCGCGTGGAACAGCGATGTGATAAATTCATCGAGTCGCTGGAGGAGCAGAGTCGAGCCAAACGCCCTCGATTATCGATTGGTATTAACCAATCGTTGATCGCTCGTATCGCGCGATTTGAAGGTTTAAAAGATTCGGTGCGTGATCGTTTTATGCAAGTGGGTGCCGGGTACAGCGCGGGACTTCGATGGCGCGAAATCGAAACGGCGATCGAAAGCCGTATATTGACCGGTTCCGTGATAAACTCAAGGCATATCCAGCCTCGCCAATTCCTCGAAGACGCGAGTGAAATTGTGCTGGAACGTGTGCGAGACATAATTCTGTAAAAATAAATACTGTATTTAACGGTAAATTCGTTTCACGTGATAAACGTGCGAATAAAAGTGTGAGCACGAGAAACTGTGAACTATATAATACGTCAGATTTACAAGAGTGGTACGCGTCGCGCGTCGTCGAGCCTGTCCTAGCATCGCTGGACGAATTTCAGGAACGCGATAGTGGGTGGACGTTATCGCGTATCCTCAATTTGACTATTAATGTGGACAAGTACAATCCGTTGCACGCCGGTTGTGACATTGAGTTACCGAAAAAAATTACGGACAAGAGAGCGATTGTTAATGTGCAATCCTGGGACGATGCATGCTTCGCATGGTCTGTGGTAGCCGCTCTGCACCCGGCTAAAAAGAATACAGAGCGAACATCTTCGTACCCTCATTTTAGAACGGTACTCAATCTCCAAGATATTGTGTTCCCGATAACGTTGAATCAGATAAAAAGATTTGAAAATCTCAATAACATCTCGATCAACGTATACTACATCGAGGAGCAGAATAAAATTCTTCCTCTTCGGCTCACCGACGACAAGAAGGATAAGCACGTCAATCTGCTATACGTGGAGGATCCTCAGGATGAAAACACGAAGGATACGCGGGACAAAAACGTGGGGCATTTCGCGTTAATCAAGAATCTGTCACGCCTCGTCAGTTCACAAATTAGCAAAAAGCAGCATAAGAAATATTTCTGCAATAGGTATGTATAATAATTAATAATAATTAATAATAATAATAATAATAATAAAATAATAAAATAATAATAAAATAATAATAAAAACAAATTTCTTTTCCAGATGCCTCCACTATTTTGGCTCAAACGCCAAACTGGAGATCCACGCAGTAGACTGCGGAAAACTCAACGATTGTGCCATCATAGGATAAGGTTGCCGAAATCGCACCACTTTTCATATAAAGGCTTATAACTCAGAAAATAAGAAGGATATTCTCAATTTTTTTGCGGCGTAATAAACTGTAAGCTTTTCTCTTTCTTATGTAATTTTTTCAGATTTTTTTATTATTATTATAATATTTTAAATAAAGATTTTTTACATACCTGTAAATAGTGCGATTTTGGAAACACGTTCCCTAAATCGCATCATAGGTTGTTGAAATCGCACTTCCATTATAGGCTGTATTCCACTTATCGCTCGCAACGCTCACGAGCATTGTTTGTCCTTATTTAACATTTGATAAACAACAAGAATGAAATGATTTCATGAGCGTTGCGGACGTTAAGTGAAATGCACCCGTAATATATATTTACAATATATACTTTTACATAATAAAAAAAATATATATATTATAAACGTGGAAATGGCATTGTAAGAGTCAAACGAAAAGAAAATTAACAACAAATTAATACATATATTCTAAAATGAACTTATAAAA